TTTTTTTTGTTCTCTTTTTTGCGCTGTAGTGCATACTCACGCTAGCATTGTTTTCCTTGATTTTTGGATGCATTTGTGGCCAGATGCATGCAGGTCGGGCCGTAAATACGGTCAGATACATGTCAGATAGTGCTAGTGTGAGTATGCCCTTAGTGAGCGCGTACATGATTTTGGAATTCCGTTTGAAAATGAATATATGTGTACACTTCTGCACCTCAGAATTTAGGCACAACCTTTCTTCTCTGCATATTTGCCTGACAAGCTTCCATCACCTTTTTTTTTTTTCAATTTGATTTTATTATTATGATGATTATTATTTTTTGAAGGGCGACGGCCTTGAGATACCATCGTTGAGCTGACCGGCCCCGGGCAATTCAGAAATATCGTTTGGTTTTACTCATCATCAAGTTCCATCATCTCGATTAGAACTCAGGTTTATATTTTATCAGTTCATGGGTGTTCCCAGTGAGCTAAGCTCTTGGGTTGTTTCACCTTTTTGTACTTGCTTTTTCTTGAATTCTTGCCTCTGCCTGCCTCTGCTCCTCCTCCCTCGCTTCTGCGTCATGCGTTTAATTAAGCCGACACTGCCCCTGGCATACAGAAATTCTGAAAATTTTACGACCACCGCATTCTAGCCTCGGTGTGCAGTGGCTGGCCAAAGTTAGGACGCATCCGTGCTGGTGCACCCCAGGGGCCTTTAGTGTCTTGGTACATGATGTCCGTTTCTGTTTCAAGCCGCCCTCTACTGTGCCTCGAGGAATGGATTGGGCGACTTTTCGTTTCTCAAACTTCAGGGCTCTGCGTTGGACGCGTAGAGGAATAGAACAGCACAGCCTTTTGATATCTCAAGCTTCGGCGCCCCGTGTTGGATGTGATGTGGAGAGAAGAACAGAAAACTGCGACTTCAAGTTGTTGTTTAAAACCACCAGTACTTCCTAAAGTCGTGCCCGTGTACAAGCCTTGCTTTTTTTTTTTTTTTTTTTTCCTGGGAAAAAGCAAGGAGTTCCATTAAGAAGGACCAAATGAGGCTGGGGAATTCCTCACAAACAACCCGGGGTCAAGTCCCACTAGCAGCGTTGAGCTATCTCAACGCATGAATCTGGACGTGTTTGTGGAGACGTGCAGTTCAGGAAACTCAACCCCATTTCTGCACATCTCCCCAAAAGCGTCCAGATTCCGGCGTTGCCGGTAGCTCAACGCTGCTAGTGGGACTTGGCCCCCGGAGCCACTCGGACTGGACTACCAGGACCATTACCTGGCTTAGGTTCAGTGGGAAGTAATCCCAACAACTCGTCAAAAGCAGCCGAGTAAATGACCGTTGAAACAAGCCACAATTTTAGGAAATGTATGGGCCACTACAGAAGTGCCCAAATTCATCCGACAAGAAACGTTTCTATTCTATTCTTTTCGGTTATAGCGATAGCAGTGTCCCAAGTACTGGTGTTTTGAACTTCAGAGCCCGACGTCGGACGGGGAGGGGAACAGAAAAAGTAACAGTTTTTGAGTCTTAGAGCCAAAAAAAAAAAAGAATGGGCCAGGGACGGTGGACCCGGTTTCCAGTGTGATTGGTTCTATAGCTACTCCGGGTTGAATTGTGAGGGCCCCGGCCTCGAGTTCTTATCAACTGGTAATAAAGATCAAGTGTATTAATCTTCAAAAAAAAAAAAAAAAAAAAAAAAAAAGAATGGGCCAGGCAGGACGCAGGGCCTCTTGAAAATACTTGAGTTTCAAGGGCACCCTAACTCACGGAAGGTGATTAATTTCCCCTAACTTTTTTTTTGGTTCCACAGCCCCTTGACGAAACCCTTGAGTAGGCCGTCCTTGAAACCGAAGTGCCGACGTCATTGCACCACGCACAGTGGTGATTGGTGGAAAAAAAAAAGAAAACGAGAAAAAGGTCCGTATATTACTCGTTTTGAAGGGCGAAACCCTTGTGCCCCAAGTGACCTCCCAAGGCTCCCTTTCGATTTCGGTCGATTTGCCTGGGCCGCAGTGACCTCCCGGGCAGTGACCTCCCGGGCTCCCTTTCGATTTCGGTCGATTTGCCTGGGCCGCAGTGACCTCCCGGGGCTCCCTTTCCATTTCGGTAGATTTGCCTGGGCAGCACTTTTGTTTCAAGGGCGGACACTTGGCTGCGGGGATGTGGAAACAATTAGAGACTTCAAGGGTGCGTGATCCGCGGGGATGTGGAAACAATTAGAGACTTCAAGGGTGCGTGATCCGCGGGGATGTGGAAACAATTAGCGACTTCAAAGGGTGCGTGATTAGGGCGGGGTCGAACGATGCTTCCTTGAAAAACAGCAATAATTTCCAAGTGGTGTCGAACTAGACCCACAGTGTCACACACAGAAAAAGAGGGAAAAAAAAAACAGACCATCACTGACATGTCCGGGTTGCTTCCTTATGACAATCTCCTACATCGGGGGCTAGGTCCCACTGGCGTGTGCTCTTCATTCTTGACCGACGGCGGTGGCGGGAATACGCAGATCCATGGTCAGAAATGAAAAACACCATGCAGTGGGACTCAGACC